TTTGGATGGCAAGTAATTAGACAATGTCTAAAATCAATATTCTTTGTAACAGTGCTGTAGTATTGCCTTGGTGGCTGCTCGCTAGCAATATAAAGAAGGATGGTGTTTGTTCATCACATGGCCACATTACTGTATTGCATGACGATAAAGAAATTGATTGATCACATTAAATGACAGAACAGAAAACCAGTGAAAACATGACAGCTACTTGACTAAAGAAGTGAGGACACTTATTTAATTTAGATAATGCATCTAAATCAATATGGGATATTTCTCTCTGTTATTTTTGTCTCAGTCACAACAATTAAAAAAAATGATATCTTAATCTTTCTTTTTTTTCTTATTATGATATAAAAAAAATGTTACTATAGTTTTCTTGAGAAATTGTCCCATAAGTCAGATTTAAAACATTTAAACACACAATAATAAAGAAACAAATAAATAGAAAAAAATGAATTTAAATTAAATGAGCAATAAAAGGAGGGAAAACAACAAACAAATTTATCAAGGTAGAAGCCAGTAGAGCTTCAGTCTTGTAAGAGATTTCTAAATTATGATATAAAAATATTTTGTTAGAATGAATGTACGTATTTTGATAAAATACTATTGTCCTAACTAGTTAAGAAGTATATAATGTTGGAAATTGTAGCATTTGGTTTGTCAGTTGTTAACATTTAGATAGGAAATCTTTTTATCAAGTAACATTTGCTCTGTTGATTGAGTATATATAAATACCAATCTGGAATTCCAGCACTTAAGCCAAGTTTTTAAAAAGAGAACAAAAACAGAATACATTGTCTTTTTATGCAGATCGAAGTTTTCTAAATAAGAAAGATTTAAGCTAGCATATGATTGTCTTCAAAAGAGGTTTGTCTGCAATAATCAATTTTATATAGCCTAAAAGCAAATGAAATGATACTTTTAGCTGATTTTCACAGAGTTACCTTTCTTGACTCAGTTCCTAAATGGTCTCCGGTTGGTTGTTTTTACAATGGCTTAGCTCTAAATTGACTATTGACACTGGTGTAGATTCCAATTGATTGAAGCTGAAGAGCTACATTCCGTGTCAATGGTAGTGTTGTAATCTGGACAGATTAGGGGACTCTCAGAACAATTATCAAGGGAGGTAACTTTTAACAAGGGAGATTGCATTACCTCAAGGTAATTTAAAATTTAAGGTGTCATATGTCTTAATAATGTTGTTTTTGTAAAGAAGCAGAGAAAGTCTTTATATTTATAATAGCTCTTGTTATTATTTTTAGAATATATTTTCTTACATTTATTGGGAGTATCTTTTTTGTTAATTATAATTAATGCATGTTCTCAGTATTTTTTACTTATTTGTTATAATTCTCATTATAATGATAGAAATTTAATTGATTTTCCAATGTTTACTTGAATAAAAAAATTACATAAACATTTTATTTAATTGGCAGAATAACCCATGAGGATTTCAATTCTTTTATTGCATGCTTTCATTTAAAAAAAAATCATGCACTGAAAAAGGATTGGAGCAAAACCATCCCACTCCCCCACCCCACCCCCACACAAATAAAAAAGGAAAATTATAATTAAAAATTTAACAGTTCCTTGATTTTGGAACTATTTCTTCTAAACTTTCATCTTTTTTTTTTTTTAATTTTTAAAAGTTGCATGTCACAATTTTATAGAGTTAAAAGTTTTAAATAAAATTGAACATAATTGTTATTTTGACTACTCATGTGTCCAACAGAGGAATATGTCAAAGTGATTATAAGTCTTAGCCACTTGCTCTATGTTGTTCAACCTCATTATCACAAACTCTTAGATCTTAAGGTCCCTAGGAGTTAGAGATAAAGAGGTTTGACTGTAAATCAAATGTCTTTGTTTTGAAAACTTTGCCTTAAACTTCAAAATTTAAGCTTTTTTATTTTTTAATGCACCAAAAATTAAAATATCTTGCAAACACAGAGAAATTATTTGCAAAAATACAATCAAAGTTCCAAATCCAATGCTTTGAGGAATATTTAATTTTCTTAATATAGGCAAAAAACTGTGATTGGATGACGATGCAAGTTTTTATGTATGTCTCTAGTTCACTGACTTGATGAAGAATTGAATCAGCCTGTCTGCTGATCTTATTGTCTCTGTTTTTACTTTTTAAGATCTATAACTTATTGGGAATTACTCAATGAATGCAATTTTTCTGCAAATGACAACAACTTGCGAAAAGGTGTCACCCATCATACTGGTTCTACATGGATGCAATATTTATCTCATGATAAAATTAAAGAAAAAAATTCAAGATGCTTATATTGATACATCTAATTATATCTCATGTTTGCTTCCTCCTTAATAAAATGAACTTTATTTTTAATTCCTTGATTTTAGTACATATTGAATTTCTTGCTGACATACAAATGGAAAAGTGTGGGATGTAAATTAATCTCCCTTCCAACTAAGTTGGCAGCTAGTGGTTAATGATTGTAATGCAAGTCAACTCCTTTTCATAATTCTTTAAAGCATATGACTTAAAATTATTGAAAAAAATATTACTTTTAAATTAAATAGCATACCAAACTAATTGCGGTTAACTTAAATGACAGCATGTCATCAATTTTATCACCTGTCTGTATTTGATGATAGTTAGGTATCATTGTTTTAATTAGATGAAATATAATGGAGATGAAGAATAGTATTCTAGCTCAAAAGTTCTATAAACAATACACATTTGGAGTGGAGTAATCACGGGCCTCCAAAACATCAGAGGTAGGATCAGGTGCCATTAAGGAGTGAACACCCCCTGCTGACCGGTCACACCCGCCATGTGCTTCTTGTCATGATCAGGAAATAACAGAAGAAATCCATTGACAATTCATTGTTTAAAATAGTTGAATCTGGTTTAACATTTTTGGTATTTTTACATGCAAAATTATTGTTTTAATTTTTAGTTATCATTAGGGAGATTATAAAATAAAAGTAAAATAATGGTGACAGTCAGTGACTTTGTAATTTTGATGCAACTTCTTAAAAAAAATGTATTTAAGAATCATCTAACGAAAATCTCTCCTGTGCTTATTAAGTATGTCATGTACAAACTTATTTGGTCAATGGTAAGGCTACCTTGCCAAAAATGTTTGCCTTTGATCTTAGCAAAAACAAGTACTCATTCTGGTACTTTGACCAAATGTAATTATTGTTCATATACTCAGGAAATGAAGATTCTTCGTTAAGAAAGATCAAAGATGTTGCATAAACAGTATGTCCCAGATACCTGTTGTCATCTAAATATGCCAAGGTCATAAAAAAAAAACAATATTCAATGTCAAGGCCACAGATTGGTGATGACATTTGTACACAGCTCTGTGTTTAAGACAAATCTGATTCTAAAGTGTTTTATTTTACAGAATACTGGAAGGAAATTCATTAAAATATTGTCATTTATCAGGGATATTATATAAAATTAAAAAAATGAAGCTAACAAACAGTGATTGATATAAAAAAAAAAAAACTTACAGCTATACAGATCTATGAACATGGCATTAAACAAGACCCACATAAATTCCAGGTCAGATCAGGTGTCTAGAAGGAGTACCAAGGGTAAGTATCCCCTGTCACACTCATTGTCAGTTGTATGACAGATCAGGTAGAATGAATATCGCAATAAGTTTAGTCAAAAAACAAAGGCCTAACTACTGTATACAGGGTTATTTTCGCCCCGTGTTATTTTCGCCCTTTCACATTTGGAAACAAGTTTGCCCTGTTTTAAATTCGCCCCCAAAATGTTTTTGTTTAAGATATTATACCATTTACTTTAAATTCACCCTGTTTTAAATTCACCCATTTCCAACTAGGGGGAAAGGGGCGAAAATAAAACAGGGACGAAAATTTCCCTTTTTACAGTATTGGGATGAAATATATTTGTCAAAATATGAACCAATGATAGCATATATTTGCTTATAGGGTCTCTAAGAAGACCATAGAATTTTTGAAATGTAATGAAAAACTTCTTTGGTGCATTTTGTATAGTATCAACATCGGGAGTTTATTTTTGATACTTTGAGTAGCTTATTACTTAAAGGTCATATCATGACCTTGACTCTTTTTTACAAGGTCTTGTAAGTTCAATGTGTTGTACCAAACTCTTTATAGGGAACAAAAACCAAGAGATTTTTACCATTATCAGTTTTTGAGATGATTGAGCTTTGACACCAAGAAGATTGTATTAAAGTTAGAGGAACGGATATGTGTTGTCAATAATTTTTCTTCTAAGAAACCAGGCACTTTTTTAAGAATACATATTTGTCATCTGGATGGTAAAAATGTTACAGTATTTGTGTTCTTCATGTGACTTCTTCAAATTGTGTGATTTATCAGATATAAAGCAACAAATATTTGAGTTTCATGTGTATGGAAAATATATCTATCAATTAGAGTAGATAGCCTGTTCAGTGAGAGAGTGTAAAGGGCCGATTATCTGTGTTAGTAATTGAATTTGTTTGTGTTGGACGCTGTGATTAGTGTAGGATCGCTTGCTAGTGGCCATGTTCCAGTGATAGGCTGATGATAAGAAGATGCAAAAAGTTTCAATTCTTCTGGTCAAGCTTTGTTCAGAAGTTCTCCAGCCTTATCTCTAGCTAGTGATTGATGTGGCATTTTGTGGTAGGACACTGGGGCTCCTTGGGGGAGGGGGGTGAAAGTCAATTCACAGAATCGGTTTATTTCATTAGCTATATCCACTGCCATTTTGAAACAATTACAATGTTCAATATTGTTTTCAATTACAAACATTTTAGGGTCATATTAAAGGACATTGGCTGGTGGGAGGGTAGAGATTTTTGTTTGGGTAATAAGCTTAGTGAGAAAACACTGGGTGAAGAAATTGTCTGTACATCTTATCCTCTATGTTGTTAAAAACAGCATGGGAGCAGGCAAGTAATCACCGCCTCAAGTAGCGGGGGAAATATCATCAAATGTTAATAGATCGCTCATTCTCTTCCTTTAACTAGCAGAGGAATTTATTTTAGCATGGTGTACTTCTGCCGAACAGAGAAAATAAAAACATCTCCAGTGTTTCTTGTAAGCCAATAATATTTTGTTATTTGAATGTGTTCACAGCTCGGTGGATACACACATGGGCAGATTTAATCAGCAGCAGATATCAGATTTTGATGGCTATTTAACAAAGAAATGAAGTGACAGCGTTAGCTGTGATATTGTGGGATTTTGAGCTGTTGAAGGCTACAGGCCAGTCATTTCATTGATAGTGCAGAGTCAATGTTCAATTGAGTGTGCTTGGCTCATGAAATAACAAAATTGTTACTCATATATTTATCATTTTGCAGACTTAGACATTCAACTTTGGAAAGTGTCAATAGATCTCCAGCTCATGGGAGTGAACCTCTACAGACGATAAGGATATTTCATACCAGTAAATATCTCTTTTGTTGAAGTGATTGGTTTAAACATCCAGAGGACTCAGGTATAAAAGGTAGGTATACAATATACTACTTTTGTTCCTAATGGCCCACTTCCTATAACAATGTATTAAATGCTTGTGTTTTATTTAAAGTGAAGATTTATTGTTGACTTCCAACACAAAAAGGACACAGGTCTAGAATTTCATTACACAGAAAATAGTGGGCCAAATTTCAATCACAAATTGAAGTGGATTCGAAAATTATCCAGATTTGGGATAGATTTTTTTTTTAATCTCAGAATTGGTTATAAATGCTTAGATTTTCAAAAATGGTAGAACTTAGATTCTCTGGTTTGATTGGCATGGTTAGGATGCACTGAATTAAGTCCTACCACCACGCTTGCTCCATTGACCCATGGCTGTTATGGCTGATAAAGGACAGAGATAATTGGACAATAATTTGTTGTTAGCCACAAGCCTGCCATGTTAAACACCAACTGATGGTAAATATTTGAAATATCAGGTGTTACAACTTGTTTTGTGAGACAAAACCCCCTCTCTCTCTGCTGACAGTTGATTTGTGTAGGTATTGTGAGCCGGTGAGATTTAAAGTTTATAGACAAATCACAGATCAATTTAAACATTGCATGCTGTTCCTAAATACTAGGTTTTTAAGAGGTAAGAACTAATATTAACAGAGCCAATATAAATCAGACTGCAGAGAGGAGATTTAAAGAAAAAGTCACAATATTTGGGTTGGAATTTCTCAATGTAAAGAAAAGTAATACCAGTGTTTTTTGGAAACAAGACATTAGCTTTAAAACATCTGCTCTACATGTATATAGACAGAATAATTCTCAAAGTCAACATTAACTTGTTTGACAAAAATACATAGTTAGGTGGAAAACGATCAAGATCACAATACACATAGGATACCAACAAAGAAATGGTAATTTTATTTACACTTTCACTTCACATTCCATATCTTTGTGTGGAGAAATTGAACATCCATGTGCCTGGCTATCAATTAATTTTGTTCTATGTCAGTGTGGTTGACATATCTTTTAAGGAGTTCAGAACATTTTTGAGGTGTATGAATCACACCAAAAAGAGCATTTTAATTCCTCCAGCAAATAAATCTCATTGAGATGAAAGAGAAACTTAGATACACAAATAGCTGAAACATCAAGCTATTCTGCAGACACATAAAAAAAAAAGAAAGAGAATTAATTTCAATGATAGCAAAAGTAAAGTCATCAGTATTAAGGCCTAAGCAATGAATATAGCTGCACATATGATGAAAGTTAAGTATTATCTTGGCTGCACGGTGTGATATAATCAAGGTATAGATTTGATATTGAACTATTTTTTTGTCAATTACACAGATTTTTTTTCTGTATGTTATTCACAAACAACGGGAAAATTTTGATGAAATCTTCATCAGACAATACAAATTTTGGCTGATAAATCTGGATATGTCTGAAGATAACTGGAGATTGAAATCTTTTGAATGACTGAAATTCCTTAATCACCGTGTTTATTGCTCCAAGAGAAGATGTTGTTCGGGAGATATACACCAGTTACTAACTACATTATGACAGAGTGTAAAATCAGGTGTTGGAGGAATGTTGGTTGATTCTCATTACACCTCAACAGGCAGTTCACCATTCTCCAGAGACAGGTAAAATCACCTGTCTATACATAGAGGGGATTAAACTCATCTAAACATATTCTGACATTATTTATATGGCAGGGAATATTTCATAGAAAAATTAAATCCATTGTAATTAATTAATCCTTCCCAAATATTAAGAAAGCAAAGTGCATGAAGAAGCTGTGATTCATTGATTTAATTTTTTTGGAATTGTTACCTTGATAATAAAATTCCCTTGCTAATGTTGGAGAGACAATGTTTTTCATCTATTTTGTTTATTTGTCTGCCTGTTGGCAAGATATCCCAAAAAGCTTCAATCACATTTCAAATAGAGAAAATTAGATGTTTTAATCAAGAGATTACATTTTAATGTTCTGATTAAGGATGCATATGAAGTGTGCTCATGAATGGGGAATTTTGGTTTATAATGAAGCATTCTGCAACTAGAATAGTGTGGCTAGGAAAATTAAGTAGTTCATTATTTTTTCTTTCTTTCTAAATTTCAATAAATATATCTTTTTAGCTTGCATGAAAGGAACTTCAACTTCAAAAAAGGAGGGATAACTCCTTTTCACCAGAACAAAACAACAACCAAACAACAAATAAACAAAACAAACAAAAATAAAGCAAGTATTTAATCGTTTAAAGCATTCCTATAGAATATTTTATTATTATGAATGAATTTTTTTTTTACATTGAAGGTCAAAGAAGGGCATATTATAAGGAAACAATCAAATTTTCTTCTGCAACAAAACTTTAACGAACAGACTGTCAGTCTAAAAACTATATCTAGACAACCAAAATTCAATGAATTGCTATAAAGCTTTTGAAAACAATGCAATGAAGGCAAAAGCTGTAAAAATACGGCTTAAAGTTTTTGGTCAGACCATCCATCTGTAAAGCTGCATGTCCATCTGTTTGTCTGCAATAACTTGAAAATTGCTTACATATACTTTTAATTGGTTGGAGCACTAGGGTCTTATGTAAATTCCTTGTGGCAAGACCTCTCTTTTGGTACCAATATACTTGGTCTTAAAGTTTATCAACTTTAGCAAAATTTTACCAAGCTGTGGCCATAAATTTTGAACAGTTTAGTTGAAGAACTTTTCTATTTCATGTTCATTATTCCTTGTGACAATAAAGACTTTTTCTTGAGTACCTAATTTTTTAACTTTTTGACCTTGACCATGGGGATTGACCAAATTTTGAAAAACTGTAAACTCAGCCAAATTGATTGATGCTAGGGTTTTCATATTTTACATATATTCCTTATGACAATTAAAGACTTCCGGTACCATTATGTTTGACCTCTTGACCTTGCATGACCATGACTTTTATATGTATTTTTCAGAAACTGTAACCTTGGCAATGAGCTGTCATATATGTGGGCATCAGTTCTCACAAATAGATCTTGTTTTTATCTGTTTATTTATTAATTTGTTTATTGGAGTTTTGTAGTCTCCAAACAATTCAAACACTCCTCTCTTAGTTCTGAGTGATAAGAATAGGTCAGTCTCATTCAAAGATTTTTTTGCTACATTGTTTTCTTTATCAGTACTACATTGTATGTGTGAAAACTATAAGTGCAAATAGTAGCAATCAACATCTCATGATGGACTTTTGCCCATAGGATATTATACGTTATAACAAGGGATTTTCTTTTAAATTGTCCATTTATTTTTTTTAGTATAAACCAAGTGTCCAATGATGTATATGTGCCTCTAGTTAGAAAAGTCTGCATTGATTTGTACATCAGAATTATCATCTTTCACATTTTCCTCTGACCCTTGATACTGAATCAAAATATTTACAGGTAATGTCTACAAATGATTATAAATTAGTCACAATCAGATTTCCTCAGTAAAGAAAGAGCAACCAGTTCATCAGGAGCCAACTGGTTAATGGGTGGGGCTATTAAAAAAAATAAGATTTTTACCCTAGTGTTGCTCGCTTATTATTGATTGAGGATTATTTGATAAACCTCAGGTGTCTGTTTTTAAAGTCAGAATTTTAAAATACCGATCGTGAATCTCTGATCTCAAAAACAAATGACCTGATCTACCTCGAAATGAGATTTACCTGTAACCCGTTGACTGCCACTCAACAACTATTTCTTATTATCAGATAAATATCATTTTGACAAAAGCATATTCTGTGTTGGGGCTTTATGTGTCTGTATAGACCGGTGGGCAGATCAGGATCGCAGAAAGTTAGCAGCTATTGAATTGGAGACGCTAGATGACATAGTTAAACAATTTATATTGTTAGACGGTTGTGGTGGTTAGACATTAATATGAAAAGTAAAGTGAGGACTTAGAGTGGATTTAGGATGTGACGAGTTTTTCAGACATATTCTTTCACAGGTAGATTCAAATACTTTTTGAATTGGTAGGTTGCTGGTATTTAAATGGCAGAGTCTAACAACTCAGTAATGTGTCTGCTTAAAGTTTAATCTGATAATGAATAACCAACAAATCAAATGTAGTGAAAATCATCGCAGCAAGGTTGGTCACTGAATATATAGGTGTAAATACGCTATGTGGCTGTCCCTTTACATAGATTATCTGTGTTAGTTTTAAACTGTAAAGGCATAACATTTGGTTTTGATATTAATTACTTTTAATTAATTTCATCATTCTTTTGAAGGCTGATTAGTCACTTGTGTATCAAAAATACGGATATAAAGTAATACATTTTCAGAGTTAACTGGCTGATAGCTAAAGATTGAAACACAATCATGTTGATACGTACTTCATTATTTCCAAATATTGCAAGATTTACAGCCAATCTAATGCCATCAGTTAGGTTTATATATTAGTTAAAGGTCTTCTATATATATAGAGACAATTAATATTTGTGCCATTAACTATAAGTAATTATGAACTTTTAGAATTGGAAACTAGTCACCACAGTTTTACATCTTTGATTCAATGTTCCATAAAAAATATGAAGACTGAATATTACATTCTTAGTGACATAGTCAGCCAAAGTGGGATATTTATATACATACTGTGCAAGGAATCTGCATGGGGATACATTAGGTTCCCAGGGGTCAAGGGTAAAACCTTCAGGTGATGTTCAGGGCCCCCCAATAGTTTCTGGATTCTCTTTTTATTCCAAAATACACACAAAAAAAATTAAGATTGTCTTAATTGTTATATTTTGATACAAACTTTACATTTAGTTTAAAAACATGATAGATAGGACTTTAGGTGATAATTGGGAATGATGAGGAAATTGATAATTACTTGGACACTAGCTAGCACATGTGTATTGAACATTTTATAAATTCAAGTTGTTATTATTCAATATAAATTTAACATGTATAACAAATCATAATTAATATATATTTTTATCTTTTAAAAGTGGAAAAAACCTGTAATAATTGTTTTTCATTTTGAATAAATTAATCAGAATAATTGGATGAAAACCGACATCTCAACAAGCAGATGCATTTTTTTTAACTTCTGCAATTTTTCTTATCAAAGAGGTTAGCAAATATACACTAAAAACTATTTTTTTCCAAATTGTCTGATAATTCTCGTTATTAGATAAAAATGAATGCTTTATACAGTTGCATATTACTTAGCTGAGCCAATGTGAAGACAGTATTTTGATTGTTTTATTTCTATAATGCTGTAAAAGGCAGAATGAATTTCAAAAAATACTAATAGCATATTTGACCAAATCTCAATATCACTTACTGCCTCTAACTATTTTTTCCACATAATCAAAAGGAAGGCGAGGGGGGTTCCCCCTGGTGGCCTCATCTCTATAGATCCACCACTGCTTTGCTTACAGGGGTACTTCCTTTTTGGTGTCAGATTCATTATTTATTTTTTTCTTTGATGATATTTTTCAAGCCTCTTAAAGATTTGAGGCCTATGAGGCATACAACAGGAGATAAGAGTTTGTTCACTTGACAGTTAAGCAGGGCAGAAGGCTGACAGACAAGCACCTGCCCAGGTTCTGGGCATTTAGGATTTGGATGTTTAAATGATCTAGCTATTACATCACTTTTTCTGTTCCAGTTAATACAGTATCAATAAAATAGAATGGAGGGACCCTCTATACACTGTACACCAAGACAAGGTCGCAAGTGCTTTGTTTTTAAAATAAATAAATACCTGTATTGAAGTGAAATACACAGGTTTAATCACATAAAATTTCTTAAAATCATATATGCTGAAGATGATTGAAGTTAATGAATACTTTATTTATGTTTTTTCTCAAAAAAAGTAAGCGTTGGGTGATTTTTAAACCTTAGATTGAATATAAGATGAAGATGAAACATTGTCACTATATATCTAATTATACCATGTAGTTTTCTAAAAGTTTTCATTAGTGTATGAGGGGTCCCTAAAATAAAATGTGATTCAGTGATAACTAGATAGACACAAAGCATTTTTCTCATTGGTCAAATCTACAAAAGGAAGAGCCAAAGGCATAATCGTATGCATATCGTATGGACACATTGGTTTCCCCTTCTGTGTTACAGTAATAGGTGTAATCAGTTTTGTGTTGATTTGATGCAGATTGTACAAATAGTTTAAACAAACACAGTTGAAATATGGTTTATGTTTATCAATACATTGGTTAACAAGTTATGTTTGAGGAGCAGGAAAATATAATCTTTCCAATACTATTGAACAAAAGTCAACAATGTTATCAATATTGTTTCCTAAAGATAAAACACCATAAACATTACATAGTATAAAATTAGTGGCAGACCATGGTGCGGAAAAATGGTAACTAAATATTATTAATTGTAATTAAGAATAAAAAAGAGTAAAATAATTAGTTAAAAAATAATTAAGTGAAAGAGAGAGGATAGAATATGGAGAAAAGGAGATTTTCACTATTGATGTATGTGTAAAAACTGTAAAAAAAAAAAAAAAAAAAAAAAAAAAAAAAGTACAAGAACTTGTATAAATATTTGATCTACATTGTATTTGAAAATATAAAAAATATATTCATATCCAATTACATTATGAGGAGTTGTAAATTTTCCCAGCAAGTTCTCCAATTGTTCTGTTTGATGAAATGGAGATTAAGTTTTCTATCGGTGAAACGGGATAGGATAGGTGTTTTTAGGGTCTGTTAGTGCAGTCTTAATCACATGAAATTCTTTCCTACTTCCAAGTCAGGTGTTTAATTGTTCGTCTTTTGTTAGTGTCATTTCATCCATAGAGACTGTATGTACAAGTGTTACTTGTTTGCTACTCATCTTTCCGATTTTGTCTGGCTTCTCTTATGAAGTGTGACACTGTTCATTTTTACAATGCAAACAGATTCTAGTGTGTGTTTTGATACAGAAAAAAATTTGCCCCAGACCAGAAAAAGGGTTCAACGAATTTATTTTGCATTTCCTCCCCCTTCCTGAAAGAGGAGTTAACTGTTTTCCCTTTGTTGTAGTGGAGTGCCGTATTTAGAATTTCTACTGATTGAACCAATATGAGCATTAGCAGGCTTTAATGAGTCTGGGTGAAAAATTAAATAGTTGGCAAAGCATAAAAGAATCAGTCGATGATATTGTCTTGTTAAAACAATCAAGCAGTTCTTGTTAACAGTAATAGTTAGCAAGCAGCAATGATTACTTCATTTCAAATGCTGTCTGGCAAGTACTTGATTTATGTTTTGTAAATAAGGTGTAAGCAATAGAGGAGCATCATTAGATACACTGAGGCCGCTTACTTCCTGGGATTCCAATAACACCCTTGTTAACGTTCTCACAGCGAACTCGGCTGGCTTACAAGAAATCACATACATGTATCTAGATATTTTTCATCATCACTTAATGTTCACTAGCCTGTACTTTTTAGAGAGCACTTAAGGCAATAAAATGGTATCAACTTTTGTGTAAACATCATTATTCAGTTATTCAGAATAAATTCTGTTGTTAAATTTTTCATCGGGATTTTACCTCTATTTAATACAGCACAGTTCACCTTGGGGACAGAGATATTAGTGAATGCGCAGAAAGAGCGGCTGGAAAGAGTCTTGTAAATTGATAACACTCTAGATTTGAGCTATTGATCCGAGTTTTCCAGCCCTTTACATTTTTTCTGCCATTGTAATAAACAGAATATGCGTAATTGATTTGGGCTGTTGTTGTTGTTTGTAATGCGTAATTTTTTTTCAATCAAGAGATCACCTAGTGGCTATCCTTCTCATAATGATCTAGTTTCTTATTAATTGAACTGTGAGACAATCCTATCATTTTATGTGAATTACCAGTATATTTATAACCACTACGACTTCTGATCAACTACATAAAATAGTGATCTGAGCTTTGGTCATACACCAGAATTTGAACAGCGTGCGGTGAGAAAATTAGGGTGAAACTATGCACAAAAAATATTAAACTCTTTAGATAGCTTTCAACCCACATAGTGTAGCATGTGTACATCACCATACATTAGCTGATAATGCTCTGGTGTTATCATTCTTGATATGGGTTGGACTGTTTTGTCTACATTAGAGAAATGTCTCTTATCATCAACTCTTGTTGGGTTATGTTATAGATTTACATTCAAGTTTTTCCTCTTTGCTATAGCTGGGATTAGGAGCGTGTCATTGCAGCCCGGAGGACCGGGCTGCTCTATACATATAAGTTTAAGTGTTGGTGTATGGGGATTTGGGTGGGAGTAGTTATTTAGAATTAAAGGTTTTCTAAACATTGAAAAGATTGTTAATCATAATGTTCTTTCCATTTATAAATTACGAGATGCATAATATATATACTTCCATAAAATGAATCTGTAAAAATATATATGTTTTTCATATTTAATACATAAAGTTGCTTATCATTTACTATCGAAAAAACGACAGGTCCCCTTTTTTAGAACATCGAATTTTACTTCTCGGATAAAAACGTACTCTGCACAGTTCGTGTTTCATATTCTAAAATTGAAAATTGATACATTTTAGATATAGGTGATGCGTGTGTCTAACTTCAATTTATATTTTACGCAGCCAAGATTTACTTGAGGAATTGATCAAGTTTAAAGTGGTATCGTTTTTGATTGATTTTTATCCGACTACAACTTTTCAAAATATTATCGTCTCCATCAATTGGACGTATGCCTTTTCACACATATTGAAGCGGTTTGATGATCAAGACTCATTTTCATTGTTTACTTTATATATTTCCCGGGCGACAATTGATGGTTACATCAATGTTTTCTTGTTGTTTATAGATATAATGCCTAATTAATCCTTGTTCTTTTTTCTAAATCCAAGAGTTGTTCCTCTTTCATCCATAGTTTAATGTCTTATTATTCTCCCTTTCATCTTGGACATTGGAATGCCGAGATTTTTCATTAGGGATGTAAAAAGTCAATCTGTATGATTCCTTTTCCCTTTCCACAGATGAACAGGAAATTTTTTTACATATATACAAATTGATCATGTTAAATGTATATATTTCAATAAGTATTAATTGTTTTCCTGGTTAAATCACTTTTTAAAATGTATAATTTTAGTGTACACTAAAGTCCTTCTAAATTATGAAAATCCTCTTTTTCCTTTTTCCAGAAAATGATATCTGCAATTCGTTTTCGAGTTGATCACAAAACAAAACCAAAGGAAAACTGAAGAGTGAACATTTCCACGTAGCTACCCTGGATCCTGAGATGTAGACATACTAAAGTGGCGACATGGATGTCAGTCAAAGGAAACTGATTGGAAACAATAGACCAGAAGCTTCTACCTCAGTTTAAAAATACCAGACAGTGTTAAAATTAGGAAGCAACTGACATTTTTATGATGTGAAAAACAAGTGTTGCTCCTAAAAGTCTTCTCTATGACAAATCCATGACAAACTGTTACAAAGGATGTAAAAGATAAAGAATAGGGATCAAACAATTCCAGCATCATGAATGAAATGGAAAGACACATTCAACAAACCAATGACCGCCTCAGCTGTATCAAACAGGTATGTTGATATCCCAGGTCATACCTTGACCTTTTGCTTGCAGTCTTTACTTGTAATTTTAGCTCACTTGAGCTGAAAGAGGACTATCTAAGTTGTTAGAATTTGTGTCCGATCCCTTTGACATATTGTCAATAAAATATGTTCAAAACAAAGCTCAAGTGAGCCTTACTGATCACCAGGAGTCCGGCATCTGTCCATCCATCTAGCTGTCTGTCTGTCCATCTGTAAACTTAGCACATTTTCATCTTCTCAAAAAACCCACTGTTCCAATTTTAACCAAAGTTGGTACAAAGCATCATTTGTCAAAGTGGGAGGGAGATAATCTACAAACTTAAAAATAGGGTGGGGGTAATAAAAAGATTTTCTTTGCAAGAACAACTGGACCTTTCTGAAACTTGTGGAAGCTTTCTGAAGAATTGTAGATTCTAAATTGTTAAAATCATGCCCCCCTCCCCAAGATTTGATAAGGCCATAGTAGAGATTATATAGGGAAAAATTGTTGAAACTCCATATTAATGTGGAAGCATCCTCTGGTAGTTATAGATGCATTTTTGTTCAGCCCCTGTGTATAGGATGGGACAACAAAAAGTGATAAAAAAATACACAGAGGAATGCATGTAAGTTAATTGGAAATCTGAAGCAGGGCAGCTGAGCCAAACTGGCTCATTTTAATTAATATATAACCCCAGAGTTATCATGTTGCTTCAATCTTTATATAATTTTCAATTTCAAAAATGATATAATTTTTATTTCTTTATTCATTTTTTTGTACTTCACTAATTTTTTGTTTTTTTTTTTGGAAAAAAGATCTTTCAAAAATTAATACAATAAAAAACAATACAATATTGCCAGTAAAGCGAAAGCAATCAGACAATTTATCTAGAAAGATTATTACACAGAATAACAAAAGTCTGGCTAGAAAGCAACAACATTACAAATGTGAAAATCATCAAGCGATGTACAGACATGCTGCCAAAAAATAGACCCTATTTTCTCTTCATAGCAGAAAAGCAGTGCTAGCAGTGAAAAAGAACACAGCTATCTCTCAACAATAAAAGATGTATTTATGGATAGGTTCAAGCGTATTGAAATGATGAGAAACACCTGCAAAGAAAAAAAAAATTGGGAGGCAGATAATATAAGAGAGATTCTGTAAATAGAATAAGCAGCATTAAAAAACAAATTAACACTGCAAAGCATACACTCCCTTTAGCCCTGCTTTAAGTAACAATTTTTCTTCAATTTGCCATGCCGAAAATTTACTTCTAAGCAGAATTTATTTTTACATTATTCAAGTATACTTTTGTGTAAATTGACCTTTTAAGAAATTAGAACTAAATAATTTGGCATTTGTGTTTGGAAATAGGACTATGCAAATTAATATTGATGATATAAACACTTTAGCAATAGGCTATTCCTTGCAGACATGGTATCTACTTATTAAATGACCAAATCATTCAATTTTCTTAAATGGAAATTTTAGATGTATAAAGAAATTTATTATATCAATGACTTTTGAATTTATGAACTGTGAACAGATAAAAAAATCAATTATTGAAATGTTCTTAAGAATCTTTGACAAAAGATGGAAGTTCAAAAACTTTTGAACTCAAAATGTCAACACTGAGCACCAGCATTAAAAAAGGTTATGTCAAAATTGCAAAATAGACAATGCTAAATGATATCTGAAGCAAAAGATGGATCTATTTTCTTGTAGGGTAACCATCTTTACAACCAAACTGACCTTTCCTTGATCCTAATCTAAAAATAAAACAGAATCCAAAGAGAATGTTATTCATTTGAGCTAGTATCCAAATAATCAGTTTGACAAATAGCTTTAATCACTGACTTTCAATGTGATTTTTTTAAAAAAAATATTTCATGGTCTTTCCACATTTGTTACGAGATTTTGTCAAAATATTGGTTTGTATCTAAAATTGCTGCACCTGCTGAAACTGTGTAGAAATATGCTGAGTATCTGAACATGTGCACTGGAATATCAAGTTAGTGAAGAAATCTGAGAGTGTCTTTTGAGCTGTTACGGCTGCCAAACCATGCTCTGTTTTCTTAGCTGTTAACTTATTCTTACCACATTGCAGATGTTGAATCAAAGCAGTTCACAGCAGAACATTAAAAACTGTCAATTATGTCTTTGCAAAAGAAACATGAAATTGTCTATATGCAATATGTTCTAAGAAATGAAGGTCAAATCAAGACCGTGAAATTTTGATGGATTTTTTAAATAATGTCATATTACACAATTGTTTATGTGAGAGTTTTAGGCTGACCTGAGATACTTGATGAAAACTTATGTCATATATTTTCTGTATGTTTGTTCCCTCTATCCAATGGCAGACTAATTTCCCCCATTTTTCTTGAAAGCAAAGGGTTTGTCTGTTTGTCTGTCATGAAAATTTTAATCTTGGCCATACCTTTTGAAGGAGAAAAGATAAGGTATAAATATTTTACATGTACATCACATGTGACAATTTTAGAACCATTTAAAATTCAGTATGATTTTTTTATGCCATGACCTTGATCTTTATTATGATTTTTGATGCCATGACCTTGACCCTTTAGATTGACCTTCTTTTCAAAATTTCTAACATTGTTGATAACTTTTGGGTGATAAAAGATATGGCATTCATATTTTGCATTACATGTACCTGTAAAAAAAAAATCATGCAAAGCATGCACTTTTCAAAGAGGAGCTGATAAAGATTATTAAGTAATTATTAAAAGTTCTTTAGACGTGTTGAATTATCTAAAAACCATGCATTATTTTAATATCTCTTCAGCACTTGGGGTCCCCGGGAGCCTTTCAGAATGCTGCTCGTGAGCTTCTAGACTGGTGCTCTGACCTGCGGGCCTTCCAGCGGCCGTTTGAAGGAAGTCTGATGCAGTGTCTCACAGTAAGTAATCATAAAGGGAACTAGATTACAACAACTGTATTGTCAGACCCTGCACAGAAAAACTTAACCTTTGAAATATGTCTGCAGAGGGAAACAAAACTTAATGCGTGTAATACATGTAGTACTTTGGAGGCCTACATAAAATATTGTTTGTTTGCAGTTGTCTACTGACTCTCGAAGATTGCACCTGGCCAAATTTTTTTTTAAAAGCATTAATCAAAAATCCATTTCAAAGCCTACTTTTTTTCCTATTTTCTTACATGCTTTTTAAAAAAATCATATTTATATACTTGAATGTAAACATGTAAATGTTCCATTAAAATGTGTGTGGCTTGTACAGATGGTAAGAGCCTGCTGTTTATCTGTTGTGAGTGTTATCAAACAAACAGATACACCTAGAGTGATAACAAAATACATGTAGCTCATTAATACCTCCATCCACCAGGCTGAGTTATCCTGGCCTCTTAATAGATTTAATACCAGAGTGATCCAAGATAATTCTTAAACAAGTGATTAAATGAATTTTCTTTAAAAAAATTCTGTGATTAATGTTTAGTTTTAAGTACCTAGGTATGTGCTCTTTATATCTGCTAAAAATTAGTTTTTAGAGAATAATTATAATTCAATTAAATGAGGACATTAATCAGTAACACTTTATTGGATAAGCAATGATATAAAGTTGTACAAATCAATGGTTCAATGTTCATGTTATTGAATCATACAAGTTGGTATAAAGTGGACAATTTAATTGGCAGATTGCTCTTGGATGCATGAGGGCACGCCAATTGTGAGAGGATACAAGATAGTCCTGATATATTCTCTGAAGTACTTTCTCTTCAAAATAAATTGTGATTTTTTTTTCAGTATAGATCCATATAAATGAACAAAAACTTTCAAATGCTTAGTCTTTAGCAGGATCAAAGATTAATTCATATTTAATTCATAAATGTGTTCGAAATGTTTTGCCCTAATTTGGAGTGGATTTCATCATCACTATCTTCTGTAAGATTGGAGGGGGGGGGGGGAAATGGTTCATTTTTCAATCACTGCTGACCATCTCTTAATTTTCTACCTTGTATTCTTTTCCTTCATCTTCAGGACATTGCTTTGTTTCCATAAGCTGCTGTAAGTCTGTAACCCCTCCCTACACTCCACCCCAGCCAACATAACATCACCTTCTCTACTGCCTAATCCCTCTCTGTATTTATTTATCTCCTACTGTAATGAAGGAAAGTGATGGGATTTACATAAGTGTTGATAATTTTCTTTCTTGTATGTGATGCACTTTGTTTTATGCCAACAATGACAAACAATATTTATCATATCATATATTAACTGGCATTTGTGAGGTACTTGGCTTTTATAGGGTTATTTTCGCTTCAAATTATGTTATCTAAAGGAATATACAGTAAAAACTATGTAAACTGACACCTATGTAATCCATATGTTTACCATGAATTCCAACCTTGATTTTCATTTTCACTTGTTTTCCATGTTCTTAACCTTGTTTAAACTGACACCCTGTCTATTCTGACACAATTTTTTTAGTCCCCAGTGCATGTCAGATTAGACAGATTTCACTGTACATGTAATTACATTCATCAGACTAATAGTATATCATTATCTGACTAACTAAATAGTAAACTTTTCTGCAGTTATTTTCAGATATATAAACAAATTGTATTGCTCCCTATATTAAAGCTTTTAAATGATAAAATCACAAAAATTTTAAAAACCGCAGATATTAGTTGTGAGATGGAAATCTTAAGTGATACGTATCAGGTAATGAAAACATAACAGTGAAGACCTTGCTGTTAAATCTATTGATTTGTCGATATCTGATAAAGAATAAAATGTACAGTGAGGTATAATGTGACACTTGGTATGATGTGTCTACAGACCTATCTCCCGAGCATGGTAATTGATGCCCTCTTATCACAGACATTTTATTGGTTATGCATTATTTATTTACCTAGCTGTATCTAAGATGTATTGTCCTCCTTCTAAATGTATATTGATTCACTGAAGGGGCCATGTGAGCATCTATTACTGAGATGACAGAAGTGAACTGGGGACATCCCCTGGAGGAAGAAGCAAAGGGGGATAATTCATGTCATGTGAATTTATGTATAAATAAAGAGAAATAAGGGGGAATCATATGTATATACACCATGTTGGAATGGCATTGATAACCATCATTCAAATAAGGATTTTGTCAAGTCTGGAAGCATGTGGGAAATCTTGCTTAAGTAGGACAGCTAATTATATGCAAGAATTATCATGTAATCCCAGGGTGCTTAATTATCACTTTATAAACTAAGTGGAAACGCATTCCCTTCAATTACAATATTTAAAAAATTCTGTAGTTTTGACTGTTTTACCACTTCAGCTATCCTCCTTAAGTAATTACATTTGCTTAAATGTTACGTTCCATGAAGTTCAAGATCTTTTTAATTACTCAGTCTCACTTTTTCCCTATATCGATGACTTATTTGGATTGAGTTGGTCATTTAAAGATTTTTTTATATTCCTAAATGGCTTTTTTTTGGAAATTGATATTATAATCTCTGACTAGACAAGTTCCTATAATATCTAAAAACGTGTAATCTGTGTCTGTTATGAATTTGTACGGCATGTAACCACTAGATATCATCTTCAAGCAATAAAATCGTAGAGGGAGTTGAAAAGGTCCACAAAATTTACACTGAATATGAGATGAGATTGATCTATTTAAGTCCTCAACTAATTGTGATTTAAAGCGTTTGTTATAATTTTGAATTCACTATTGTTTTTTATTGATTTAAGGTTCTGTATTGAGTAATGAGTGGATGTCCTTAAATCTGGGATTTTCACACCTGCAGTAGACCTTTCCCTTACCCATTATTGGTTTTTCTTCCTTTGGGACTGAGTAAAAAACAATAAGGATAAAGTGCTCACTGATAGCTTTTGCTTTTTCTGGTTACTGGTACAATTATAATATTTAGTGCTATTTGGTCAAATGTATATATTTACTGGATAGGTCATGATTCTTTGGAGAATATAAAAATTAAGGAGTTCACATTGTCTAGTAACTAACTTGCAAAGGTTATGGAACTTATGTTTCTCCCATTAATATCAACTATGTTTAATCATTCCATTTATTCTTTTTCTTGTTCAAACACATAGAATGATTCAGTTTGGCTTCCCTCACCACTGGATTCAGTTCACTTGTCATTTTGCTAGTCAAAGGTTTTGGATACAGGGGGCAAGTGGACCGAAAACCCTTGGCTAGAGAAGATGGGCAAACTTGATGAAAATCAAAAAAATAAAGATAATGGAGATCAAGAACTGCATGGCTGCTAACTTGCATTTGAGTAGTTAAATAAATATTTTTATTAAAAATGATAAATCTTAATTAGTCAGTCTGAGATAATTATTATCACAAAACAAAAAAAATCCGATGGTGTTGAAACAGACATTGGTAATGATGCTGGAAGTAGACGGGATATAACCATGATAACCGCATCATTTCCTGTCTGGATGATCAATATGCCTAATGCCAGTTTTAATAATTACTGCTCCCAATATCAATTGGATGGTGTTTAGCCATGCTGTGTTTATTGATCCAATATGAAATTTTCTTTGCTACTTGCATTTCATGAATTACTTTAATTTGGTCAAGAGAATTAGATAAAATTGTCAGTAATATCAATTATTAGGATAGGATTAATGATTTTAGCTCACCTGATTAAAAGGGCTACTTAGGTTAGCAAACATTAGAAAGGATTTTAAACATGCAGTATAAATGTTGATTTAGTTTTTAATATGATAAAGCATATTTCAAAATTTGTGCACTGATGCAGTCTTCTTGATAACAGTCAATGCAGCAGGAAAGTTTGTCTTTCCCTAATTAACATGCAAGTTCAAACTTAATTCTTTTTTTAAATTGGTTATTTTTTTTTTTAATTACTTCAAAGGAATTTTATGTCCTGTTATGAATTTGGCCAGGGCATATACTGGCAGTATTCATAATGTCCATCCTTTGTCCTTCCATTTTTTTCTGTCATTGCATCACACATTGTATTTTGCTCAGTTTCAAAGAAATTGAAGGTATTTTCATAATTTTTTTATTCAAATTGATGAGGGTTATTCAACTGCATCAACATTTTTTGGCCTTAATAGACCTTTGACCTTTATTATTCATTGTGAATAAATTTCATTTTAAAAAGGAAACTTGCAAAATATTTTCATCAAACTTCATGCACCAATATAAATTTTCATGTTTCATTATTGAAGCCTGGACAGACTTTGGGTGTATTTTTATGCACCCAGATTGATAGATCAGGGGTGCGTATTGTTTTTGTCCTGTCTGGCTGTATGTCTGTCTGTTGTTAACTTTAACCTTCACCGTAACTTTTGAACCATGAGAGATAGAGACTTCATATTTGGTAAGCTTACTCCACTAATAAAGTTCTCTTTAAAAAGATATCAAGGTCAATGACCTTGTGAATTTGACTGTGACCTATATGCTAAAAAATAGCTTTTTCGGACTTTGTTGCCTCTGGGTGCATAGAGTTTCACAAACGTATCTTGTTTGTTTCTTAAATTGCAGTTGATGTTAGGGGAGAATGTTTTTCTACAAGTCAGTGTACATTAAATCTGTTATACACTAACAGGTATCCAAGATGGTTTATGTAATGATAAAAAATGTCTTGTACTTTCAGATTGTGAGTCAAGTTGCCCCACAACCTGGATATGACCTTGACCTGGGTTACAGATTACTTGCAGTTTGTGCAGCACACAGAGACAAGTTTTCAACCAAGTCAGCAGGTTAGCAATCTACAAAAATAGTAAAGTCACACTAACAGCAAATGTATTAACCATGGATATTCATGCCTTTATTTCGAATATATAAACACAAAATAAGATATAGTACAAATCCCATTTAATCAAGTATATGTATATAATAAGATATGGTACAAATCCCATTTAATCAAGTACATGTATATGTATGTAAAATTTACTTTGAGGATAAAGCATCAATCAACTTTATATGAAATATTCCTGCAGCTATCATGCTACAAAGAATATTTTAGCACATTCAATATATCATGAAATCAGAAATGACTTGCAAAGACATTTATTCATTTGAAAGAGCAGATATAATCTTGATTATGGGCAAAATGAAAACTATAGACAATATTGTTTTGAAATTCTCTCTGCCTCTGCTCAAAGTGAAGTGAATCATGAACATTTTCAATTCAAAATCAATTTTGAACACAGGCATATCTTGCATTTTACTTACAAATGAGTTGCACACATCACCCTCAATTACCAAGGGTTTATCCATTCTAACTTTATGGAACACTGTCCCTATCTCCATTGATATACTGTAAAAGTACATTTTTCCACATGGTATTAATTTACGCTATGTACACAGTCACAAATTTTCAGTGGAAATTTGTCCAAGCATATTTAATATAAATGCAAGGATATAGTGACCCTCTGAGAAATTTGCGTTATTTTCAACCCGCGGATTAAACGGAAATTGATTTTCCGCGGAATTATGACCCCGTGGAAAAAAGTACGTCTACAGTAATTATTACTTTTACAAAAAAGTAAGCATTCATGGAAGAGATTTTTTTTTCTTGGACCATGTACAGATGTATATGAAAATCTCAGTAACTATCTAAATGTACATACATGTACATGTATTTACATTCAGTTCTTATAATACAGTTTTACTTAATTTGAATATAAATATATATTAAATTTCCATTTCTCTCAGTTATTTCTCCTTTTTTTATAGCAGCATGGAAAATCATTTAATGTATCAACTACAGCGTATAAGGGGAATTTTAGCCAGACGCGCAAATTTTAAAAAGTCAGGTTTTAAATAAGGCGAGAAGTAGTTATACCAATTTTATGACTCTTGGAACAATGAAAACCTTTAATACAAAATAAATTGTTAGTAAAAATTTAATTTTAGCGGACTCGACACCCCCGTTAAGAATGCCAAAATTCTTCCTAAATTTTCTGCTTATACAGTGTATAAGGCATTGATAAAAATTCATTAATTAAAGTTACACTTGATTAGGGATGAAAACAAATTTATCTTTTAATTCAGGTAGGCTAAAAAGGGAGTGTTATTTATTTGTGACAGATAGATCTTTAACCAGGTATCGATCAACTATTGATTTGCTCCCCATTAAATGACAGCTATATATCCTTAAATATCACAATATGTGCACACAGCAAATAGAAATCGATGTGGTCGTCTTCTAGCAGTCTGTGTTGAGCCCTCATACCTAATTGCTTTGCTTTTATTCAATACAAAGGAATCTGTTAGGCAGAAAATGTTTCTATTGCATACTCTTTTTTTATGGTGCTGACACATGTGATTAAGCAAAAAAGTTACATCAGCGATGAGGATTTGTTCCTCGACATCAATATTTTATTTTCATTTCTGCTGTTTATTGATTTGAAATGGGAGCTTGGTATTGTCTCTGCTGTAAGCAATGCGCAGAGATATATTGGGTGATCAGAATCCAAAAAAAAAAAGAAGATACTTCCAAGAGTTATAGTTCTTAGAATGTTAGGTACGTGAGGCTAGCTATTTGATCTTTTATCAATCAATTACTGTGACGATTTGAATGATAGATGATTACAGCGTAGTGGGTGTCTGGGAGTGATTACCAACAGCATGTGGCACAGACTTCAAAATTATAAATGATACTTAATTACACATCATTTTAGGTTACAGATAGTTATATTTGTCATCGTTCAGGTCAGAATTTGTATCGCCTGTAAATGAAGAGATTTTTGAAACAATTAAGTTAATTTCAATTAAATCGTTTTCCTGAATATGATAAAATGAGGAAAGGGGGGAATAAATACACAGATTAAATGATAAACTGCATGGACATTTCCCAGCTGTAAACAGATGTAGCTATTTTGATATTTTTTTTGAAAAGCTTTGAATCATTTGTCCAGTCGGTGCTGATATTGATTAAGGTGGTGGCAGCCATGTCCAAGCTCTAATGAATCGAGTTCATCACAGAGGAGAGAGACCAGATTAATAGGAATTGTTTCACTTGACAGATGGGATAATGGGATTTATCCGTTTTTACCCTAATAATCTCATTTAGAGGCAGGGAGCGGGATCCCGACATGGCCAGGTCCTGTCGCAGCACAGATTTCTCCTATAAAGGAAGTGCTCACATCACCAATTGATTTTCATTTAAGGCTTCATATGGTACTTAAATCAAAAACAACACATCACACACAAAATTTGCCTTTCTAAACTCTAATGATTTTTATAATGGAATGGTGACTTTTTTTATTTGTTATCGGTAATTTATTTGATTCTGAAATTGTGCTTACATGTTACTGAAGTGTCAATCCCTTTGAACTTTAAAACTTGGGAAGAGATAGATGAATAAAAATGTTTAAGTTTATAGTTGTTTTCTTGTTTGCCCACATCAACAGTGTAATTGATCTAACCAATTAACTAGCTGTCTGGTAAAAGCCATGCTTACTTCTTTAAGAATTAGACAAAGTTGTTCCAGCAAATGAATTGTTGAATTTCAAAAAACAGGTAGCAAGTGCTGCTTTTTAAATTGCAAGCAAGACCACAACAAAATAAGGGGGGAATTCTGCTTCCATGTGCAAAGACCTAAAAATCTGTGTGTCCCTCAGTAAGTTTTGATGGGGTTTCTTTATGTCAAATTTACAGTCAAGACCTAATTGTAATGATCAGCTTAAATGTTACTGTCTGATATTGCACATTATACCAAAGGGCTAGTGATGAACCTTGAAGCAATATTTTGAAAAATTAATTAAATCATTTTCACAGATATTTGTTTAACCTGCAACCACTGTTTGCATATAGTGAATAAAGGTTACCTATTAATAAACCAAATCTTTATTAGGTCAATGCTCTAATAAAGCCTCATGCATTCTGCATTCTGACGTGTTTCAAGCATTATGACATCATGTAGTTTGTATAGTTTATGCCATGGCTGAAGAATTGCGACTAAATTCATTGAAAATACATGTAGCTTGTTTTAAATGTAACACTGTGCTGCAGGATAAAAAAAATACATGGCTATACTGTCTTGAAATGTAAGCGATATTTGGGCTAACTGGGTCAAAAATGTGAGGGAGGGCTCTACAAGTCTCAAGTCCTCTACGACTTTTTCTTATACCCTCACCCAAATATTGCATATATATATTTCAAAACAGTATAACCATGGATTTTATATAATCTCATTCTTACTTGAAGGTATTTGCAATGCAAATTTAAATCATAGCAGATTAAATTTACACAAAAGATGCACATTTGAATGATGATGATTCAGAAAATTAAGAAAGTCAACATGGAAAAGAAAAAGTAATAAAATCCTTGGATGATCCAGCATGAATTAAGTAAGAGTTGTAGATTTCCACAGATCAAAGTTATATACATGAAATGAAATTTTTGTCCCTTTTTCTTTTCTGTTTACTTGATAATTAATGTCCATCTCGAACGTCAGTTGGGAAAAATCCTATTCTCTGTCCTTATATCATATGTCAAAAAAAATTATGCTAGCTCGCTACTGTCACTTTGACCTGGCAAAAAAATGAGGATTCCCCCCTCTCCCCTCAATTTTCCAAGAAATTTTCTCAACTGGACATGTACAGGTGAGAAACTTAAACCTCCTTTGACCTTGAATGTTGAATATTTCCTCCCAAATAAAATATCTATCAGGCCTCATTTTTTTCTAACAATGCATACAGGGGATGAATGTTAAACACACCTGGTATAATTGATCAGGAATATTGCACTGTGAAAGTGATGGTACGTACAATATTATATGTATCAAAGACATTTTTCTGGATGGAGGAAGTGTATAAAAACAACCCCAACATTTCTTATAACTAATTGCAGTCAGTGACAAAAAGGTGGAATCTTCATGGATGCCTGCCAACATGTGAATGCCCAGTAAAATCCTTTTCCCGTCAATTTTTCTGTTTTTGTGGACTCCTTACCAATTAATCACACAATAAAAAACATGATTATAAATTTATAATGCTGTGCAAAGTATTTCTGAAATGGGTGCATGTAAAGAAGCTATTGAAAAACAAATTATTTGTCAATAATTTTTAAAAATAGATACAGTTATTTTGTGTATTATTTATTCATAGATATTATGCACTTTAAATATGAAAAATGTAACATGTGATTAATGGCTGGTTGTGGAGACCATAGTTAAGAACATTTCAGGTGAAAATATATTTACCATACCTGTGCCATTATAATAATAATCCTAGACCTCCATGCGTTAGCTTAGCTTATTAATTACAATAAAATATTCCCTTTACCACAATTATTCTACAGCACAATCTGATTTTAATATATCTACTTTAAAATTCCTTGTTTTATCGATGGTGATTTTCAGCCCCTTTTGGGTAGGTTGAGGGGATAATCATTTCAATTTGGAGAAATTAAATCCACTTAATTTTAGGGGTATAAGTTGTGCGAGAAAGCAAAATTATTTTCAACCCAGATCTTTTTTTTTCTAGATGTTTACATGTTGACAAAAGTATTTGCTTGGAAGGTCGTTCACCTCCAGTACAATGTGATGATCTGTTGAGGGTTCATCCACAGTCAACAAAGTGGGGCATATATAGGCTACAGAGAGTGTATTCTCAAGTCTTAAAACTAACTAATAATTCTTTGAATATTCAGGCACGTAGCACCGTTTTTGAAAGTGGGAGGGCCAACCAGAGAAAAATTTTTTTTACTTACCTGAAAATGTTGACAAGCAAAAAAAAAAAAAAAAAAAAAA